CCGACTGAGATGGAGGAGCGTGCATTTCAATTCTCTCCCTCGCCCTGGCTCGGCTGAGAACAAAGTCCTTGAGGGTCGCATAAGTGGGAAAATCCGTAGACGAGCCTATCTCTATTTCCCAATCCTCCAGCGTCTTGGAGTCCAGCCGACCTGTTACGAGATGGACAAGCATGTCGTCCCAATGCTTGACAGGACGTCCGAGAGACTCCAAAGCATTCAACGCTTCAGCTAGAGTTGAGAAGTACGTTAAACTCCCTGGCTGAGCGATTGACGACCTTTGGAGCAGAGAAGAGCTTCTCCAACTGAGTGGAGATGAGCAACCTTTCGTTGTCGTACCTCGACAAGAGAGTATTCCACGCTGGCATGAAGGAGTCTTGCGTCACTGGCAAGGTAGAGATGAGCTGCTTGGCCTCGCCAGTGAGAGAAGTGAGTAGATAGTGGAATTTCTCCACGGTAGAGAGAGAAGGATTACCGACAACCATAGAGAGGAAGAGATCCTTGTACGGAGTCCACTCCGAGAACTCCCCTGAGAATGTCGGCAGAGAAATCTTGGGCAATTGCCTCTGAGTCACCTGCGCCGATTGAGTTGTGGCAGATGGCCGACGGAACGACTCAGAGAGGTCAATTGACTCGTCCAGTCCTTTGATCAACCCCATAAACGTAGTTCGAGCGGCTGAATACGTCACGAGACATTTATCATAGACCCCCTCTTTCACGTACGCATGGTCGAGAACTTCCTCATTATCTTTTGCCGTCAACAGCTTGAGATGCAACGCGTCGAACATGCTCCAATGATTCTCGAGCATGTCTAGCTTGGACTGAAGCTCAGTCACCGTGAACTCGTTCACATTTCCGGCGACAGATTCAGCTTTCAGGCTCTCAATGAATTTCGCCCTGCTGGCCTGGATCAAGATTCTCCCCTTAAAGAACATGTTCACGCTAGAGAAATGCAAGTAAGCAAGAGAACGTCAACAAAAAACTCATAAAACAAGCGAAAATAGAGAAAATCGCAGCCAAGCAGCAGCTAACAGCAGCAAAAGCAGGAAAAGTCAATAAATGAGAATAATATAATTAACTTTCCTTTGAGGTCTAGTAGATGTAGAGATGCTCCAAATACAGCAGAGAGGTTCCGTCGGCAAAGCTGTAGGCCTAAAAACGTCGTGTGATGGAGTCCAATATTCGGACCCTTTTGATTCATACAAAAACGTCGTTGTATTGGGTGTTGTTCGAATCTCACTAAAATCAGATATGGCTAGAGTAGAGGTAGATAATGGAAAAATTTATCTATCCTCCGGTCATGCTTATAGGTTAAGAGACAATAAATGTATCGATCCAATTGGAGGATATTCATTCTGGGAAACATTACCCTCAAGATCTCATTGTGAAACAGGTTTATTT